TCTCTCTCTCTCTCTCTCTCTCTCTCTCTCTCTCTCTCTCTCTCTCTCTTCACATATGTAACCTGGATAGAACAAAAACTTCTAGAGGGTGTGTTCAGCATCTGATTATGTTCAAGAGGTCTGTTGTGTGTGCAAGAGTGACCATTGACTTTGGAGTCAGAAGACCTGGGTCTGCATTCCCACGCTGCCTCTAACTAGCTGGGTGATCTTAGACAAATACTGAACCTCTTTGAAACTCAGTTTCCTTCATCTATAAAATGGCCATAATCATCACCCTCCTTTGGTCTTCAGTTTCCTCATCTGTAAAATGAGGCATTAGAATACTGTTTCCTCCAGTGCTAAATTTACAAATCTCTCTGTGCCTCAGTTTCTTCAGAGGTGAAAGGAATAAGTTGGTCTAGATGTCCACTAAGATCTCTCCCACCTGTGAATCAATGTTCCTGTAATTAGGTAAGATGTGCAAGTGCTTTGAAAACTATAAAATGCTATCTTAAAGTAAGTTATTATGCTTTCATACTCAGAGTCAGAAAGCCTGGGTTCAAGTCCAGGCTCTGACACTAGCTGCCAAGAGCAAATAGTTACGTTTCTCTAAATTTCTATTTTCTTATATGTAAAATGGGCATAATAACTATTGTACCACCTAACTTATGGAGTTTATGTTGCTGTGAAGTGCTCTATGAGACCTCATTATTATTTATCCTAAATTCTAAATGAGACTATGAGATCTCCTTATTATTATTATTATTATTTTTCATTATTATTATTTTGTTCTCAACTTATATATAGTGGAGTATTGATTCAAATGGTCCTGGGACTAGTTACTTTTCCAACTATTGTTTATTATTGATGGTATTGATGTGAAGATAAGTTTGATTTTATTTTTGGGTGAGGCAATCAGGGTTAAGTGACTTGCCCAGGGTCACACAGGAAAAATTTGATTTTGAAGCTTTGAATCTTTCCCTTCTGATAGACTGGATTTTCATCCACCTTTTAAAAAATATTGAAAACAGACCTATTCAGGCTCCTGTTTCCTGTCTATCTGGCTGTCCCTTTCTACTGCTAGCAAAGCTATTTCTGGCTGGGTGATGATTCCTTAGATAGAAATGAACAATAATATCCCTTTGACCCTATAGAGAGCAGAAAAGAAGATAGTACACACAAATGACACCCACCGCCAACTTTTATCCTGGACTTGGACTTCCTGGAGTGGCAAAGGTAATGCTAATACCACCTGGAAATATGGAAATGCCTCTAAACAGATTTTGACATTTTGAAGCTGACACTAGTCCATTATTTCCCTGGGGGATGAGGAAATGTCATGGTTCTGATGAGGTGTTATGTATAAGCGTGTGTGTGTGTGTGTGTGTGTGTGTGTGTGTGTGTGTGTGTGTGAAAGAGAGAGAGAGAGAGAGAGAGAGAGAGAGAGAGAGAGAGAGAGAGAGAGAGAGAGAGAGAGAATGAGTCTAATTTAATAGTTGCACGTTCTAAGCATCATGGTCAAATATAAAGCACAGAGTGGCTGGGTGGGACCAGGATGTCACACATCTTCACTGAGAACAGGCTGGGTGTGGGGAGGCTCTCCCTCTTCTCTCATTCCTCTGACATTTACTCCCTAACCCACCTCCCAGCTTAATTCCACTGCAGGCAGGGATTGATTTGAAGTCAATTATCATCAGAAAACAGATGTTGTCCAGACAGCTGCAGTTCTCTCCCCATTCTTACCACAGGTCCCCAAAGAGATGAAAGCAGCCTTCTGTGATGGGATGCCACCCATTGGAGAAAGTCATGTAAGGACTCCATCCCAACCAATGCTAACAAAAGGAAAGTGTCACCAGGCTAACAGAAAAATGGCCTTCTCTGGCATCTCTTAACTTGAAAGTTTTCACCAGAGGTAGAAAATGACCTGAGCTTAGGTTGTTTCCATCAATTATGCATGCGAAAGTGCTACTGTAAAAACATGAGATGATACTGGTAGATACCTCACTGGACTGGGAGTTGAGGAAATTTGGGTTCAAATCCTCCCTCCATCTAGATACCTATTTGCTGTCTACAGATGAGTTGTTTAACCCTCAAGGCCTCTGTCCTAAATTTATAAGACTACAGCTTGGAGTAATGGATAAAGAGCCAGCCTTAGGGTCAGGATGCCCTGGGGTAGCTAACATCCCACCTTGGAGGCAAGCACCTCTAAGTGGCCCAGGCACCAACAGAAGATTGGAGAGGCGGTGGGAATGGGCTGTTGGTAGAGGGAGCTTGTTCAATAGGGAGCTGGTTCCTTACACCATTTAAATCATAGGTCCAGTCCCAGTTCTTCAAATTATTGTTGCTGCTGCTAAGTTGTTTCTGACTCTTCAGGACCCCATCTGGAGTTTTCTTGGCAAAGATATCAGAGCAGTTTGCCTTTTCCTTTTCCAGCTCATTTTACAGATGAGGAAAGTGAGGCAAACAGAGTTAAATGACTTGCCCAGGGTCACCCAGCTAGCAAGTGTCTGAGGCTGGATTTGAACTCAGGAAGATGAGTTTTCCTGACTGCAGGGGATGTACTCTATTCACTGCAGCATCACCTAGCTACCTCAGCTCCTTAAATAATAATGATAATAACTGACATTTGTAGAACACCCTAAGGGTTGCAAAGTATTTTATATATGTGTGTGCATGTGTGCATATATGTCTATGTATGTATGTGTGTGTATATATATACATATACATACATACACACAAATACTCATTTGCTCTCCATAGCAACCCAGAAGGTAAATAATACTATAGTCCTCTGGATCTAGTTTTGAAAAATCATGTTTGTGACCCTGGGCAAATCACAACCTCTCAGTGCTTTAGGCAACTTTCAATAGTTGTGGAAAAGGTGCTGATCTGTACCTGTAGAGGGAGTTTCCTCCCTTGGGAGGTCCCTATGCCAATGAAATCACAGATCCAGTCTCAAACCCCTATAAATACCTAGCCACAGCTAGGTACCTAGTTAGAGCTAGATGCACAAGCTATGCACCAGAACTGGTCAGTGCATCTCATTACTCGTGGAACAAAGAATTATGAGGCATATGTAGTCTCATGACAACCACACAAGGTAGGTGGATTCTGTGGGTATTATTTTTATAAAGGAGGAAATTGAGGCAGGGAGAAGTTGAATGGTTTGTCCAGGAGCCCATAGCTAGTAAGGGACAACTAGGTGGCACGGTGGGTAGAGCACATGGCCTGAAGGGAAGAAGACTCATCTTCCTGAGTTCAAATGTGGCCCTGGATACTTATAAGCTGTGTGACCCTGGGTGAGTCATTTCACCCTGTTTGCTTCATTTTTCTCAGCTGTAAAATGAGCTGGAGAAGGAAAGGGCAAACCACAAGAAACCCCCAAATGGGGTCATGAAAAGCCGGCCACAACTGAGATGATTTAATAGCAGCAACCATAGCTTCTGAGGCAATACTTGGACTCTGGTCTTCTTGACTCCAAACCTAGTACTCTATCTGGGGCCTCAGCAGGCATCCAGTCCAACCTCCTACCTGAACTGCAGTCCCCTCAACAGCATCTTTGACAAGTGGTCACCCAGCTTCCATTAGAATACCTTCAAGGACGGGCAGCTCACCACCTCCTAAGGCAGACTTTCTCACTTTTTGGACAGCTGCTATTGTTAGAATATTATTTTTCCTGACATCCATATGAAATCCAACTGCCTGCAACTTCCACCCACTGCTTCTGCAGAACAAGACTTTTCCCTGCTTCACACGACAACTTTGAAAACGTGGATCGTGTTTTCCCCTCAGGCCCTCTTTTCTCTGTAGACAATCTTCTTACGGCTTGTGAGTTCCTTGAGGTCAGAGATCGTCTTTGTCCAAGCTTTGTCCAAGCTATGCCCAGCTCAGCACAGTGCTTGGCACATACTAGGTGCTTAATAAAAATTAAGTGATGGATTGATATGGCATGCCCTCCAGGCCTCTTATCATGCAGGCCACCATTCCTTGAATGGGTTACATTTGGTCCATGTCTTTCCTAAAATGTGGCACCTGGACCTGAACAAAGTAGATTAAGGATCAAAGGCAAGCCTAGCCTGGAGGCAGCATGATTTAGCAGAAGAAGACTCAGTCAGAGAACTTGCTTTCAAATCCCAGGTGCGTTATTTACTACCTTCGTGATTTCGGCCAAATTACTCTACGTATCTGGGCCTCAAGTACCCTACCCGTAAAATGAATGTGCTTAAACTAGATCTTCTCTAAGGACCTTCTAACCTCTGACATCCTCTTTTCTAAGGCCCCTCCCAGCTTTGATATTCCCTGTTCTAAGGTCCTTCCCAGCTCTGACATTCCTTGTTCTGAGGCCCCTCCCAGATTTGACATTCCCTGTTCTAAGGTCCCTCTCAGGTCTGACATTCTGTTCTAAGGTCCTTCCCAGGTCTGACTAGAAAGAAAAGCTGAAGAATCATAAAGCATTGACGATCTGCAATAAATATGTATTTACTTCCAGAAATGTTTCTGACAGGGTGATACCCTCCAATGACCTAGACCTGAGGGACAACTCAGGCCAGGCAGCTGTTTCTTAGCCTCTCGTATTCTATACATTTCCATAAAGTATAATGCTATATTTATTAATTATCTACCATGGTAGGAGTTCCAACTAAGTCATGGTCTCTGAAAGCTTACAGTCTCTAGTGGAGTGGACTTGGATACAACAAACATATTAGAACATATTTCTTTCTTTCTTTCTTTCTTTCTTTCTTTCTTTCTTTCTTTCTTTCTTTCTTTCTTTCTTTCTTTCTTTCTCTCTTTCTTTCTCTCTCTCTCTCTCTCTCTTTCTTTCTCTCTTTCTCTCTCTCTTTGTCTGTCTGTCTGTCTGTCTGTCTGTCTCTCTCTCTCTCTCTCTTTCTGTATACATGACTCTAGGTGTAACTCAATTTGGTTCAATTCATTCTGGTTCCAGTTTAGTTTAATTTGACAAATATTTTATCAAACACTTATTCCATGTGAGGCACTCAGTCCCTATTAGCAAAGACCCTTACCTGTTCCTTTTCTGAATATGGGTTGTTCAAGACAACGGGCACGTTGTTCTTCCCCCACAAATCATTGAAGACACGATCATTCTCCATCCCAAGCGGCAGAAGCTTGTGGGACTTTCCTTCCAAGTCTCTGAAAATGAGAATGTAGGGGATAGGGATTAGGGGGATGGAATGGGAGACATCAGAGTTGTCTCAACCTGGAGGTACTAAGAATAGGTCTTTGGGGCTCATCTTTCATAGAATCATAAAACGTGATAGTTGAAAGTGATCTCAGTTTTCACTTAACTCTAGTCCAACTCACGTACAGAAAAGGAATTCTCACTAGAACATTCAACAAGCATCCACCTAGACTCTGCTTGAAGTCTTTCAAGGAAGGGAAACCTCTTAAGCCATCCCATTCTGCTTGTGCACAGCTCTTATTGTTAGAAAGTTTTTCTTCTACTTCCATGGTCTTGAATCAATGAGTGAACGAGCACCTATCAGGGACCTGTTGTGTTCCAGTCACTATATTAGATGCTAAGGACAAAAAATGAAAGTCTCTGCTCTCATGGACCTTACATTTTACTGAGCTCATCACAATATGTGCACAATCAATAACTCTATAGGCATTTATTAAATACTTACTATGTGCCAGGCACAAGGCAAGGTGTTGGGTATAGAATGACAAAGAATGAAGCAATCTTCCCTCAAGGAGCTCCATTGGATTCAAACACATTGATATACACTATATATGCATATGGGCATATATATATATGCATACATATATGTACATACATACATATATATGTATATACACACATATATGATAGATAAATGGTAATTGTTTAGGGGAAGGGATGAACAGCTGGGGATTAGGGTGTGATCAGGAAAGGCTTTCTGCAGAAGGTGGATCTTAAGCCAAGTCTTGGAGGAGCCAAGGGATTCTAAGACTTTAAAGGACCCTTCACAGAATCAGAGGGCAATGAGATGGTGTGTGGTACAAAAGAATTTTGGATGATTTTCATCAGGAAACTGAGTTCAAGTCCCTGTTCTTGCCAGCTATGTGATTGTGGATAAATTACCAGTTTGATCCTTATTTTCCTTGTCTGTAAAATCTTGAAGGGTTTGTAAGCCTACAATTGCTATTGAAATGTGAGGGTTTTTTGTTTTTTGTTTTTTTGCTTTTTGGTGAGGCAAGTGGGGTTAAATGACTTTCCCAGGGTCACACAGTTAGTAAGTGCCATGTGTCTGAGACTGGATTTGAACTCATGTCCTCCTGACTCTAAGGCTAGATAGAGCTCTATCCACTGGGCCACTTAGCTTCCCCTTGAAATTTGAGTTATTAACTCTGAGAGGTCACTTGTAAAGTACCATCAACAAAAGGAATTAAAGAAATTTAAATTGTTAGAGGAAAGGAGGTGGGGAAAATAAGTCAACTTGGCAATGTTTTATTTAGCATAGGATCAAAGGATCATAGCTTTAGAGGCAGAAGGGACTTTAGACACCATCTAGTCTAATCTGTTCATTTTGCATGTAAAGAAACTGAGGCCCAGAGAGGTTACATATCTTGCCCAAGTCACACAGGAGGGAAATGATAGAGCTGGGATTTAAACTCAAGGCTTCTGTTCTAATCAGCCATCTTTCTATGCTACGTGCCTCCAAGACCTAACCTTTATGACCTTTTTCCCACATGAACTTAGAGACATCAAATTGGGAAGACTCTTACAGATTTCTCCTCTGACCCCCTTCAATTGACATGTAATGAAACTTTGGTTTGGGGCATATCCAGATCACTTAATATGGAGGCATTCATTTGGAAACACCAGGGACTTGCTCCTTGGGGAAGGTGTTCCATATTCCCCTACCATGTGGGTGGGAAGAGCCTCTTTCCATTGGCTTGATAGTTAGAATTGGCTGTATTTAAAACTGCCAGACTGAAACAATCTCTCTCCAGTGACATAAGGATATGTGTGACGGTCTTATTGACCCATAGCATGGGCACCATGAACTGATCTGGGTAAAGGTAAGGCTTATCTCCTTCCCCATTTCCACCATAAGCGTTGTGGCCCTGAGAAATGGCCTGGGGTGTCTAGGCATAGGAAATAGAGTCCCCAGTCCCTAAAAGCTTGAGCCATAGTGACTTGGGAAACAGGATTCCAGGCTAAATGTTGCTGCCAGCCTGGCAGGTAAGCCCTAAGAATCCAGGATGCTTAGATATAAGCCTAGGCGGGTTTTGGACTTGAAACTTGGTGGGACCATGCTATATAGGAACTGACCTAATCTGTGAATTTGACTCTTTTCCCCTCTCCAGAGACTGAGGTGGGCAACAGGGTAAAATATGCTCCCACCCAAGTGTTAAGGGTGAGGTATATTTATATGTTTTTTCTTGTTTTATCTTTGAGGTAAATATTCCTTGGTAAAAGCTAATCTGAGTATTAGTGGTTAACAAGTGGTTAAATGGAACCAGGGTGCAGGGAAACCTTAAAATTGGACAAACACTAAACTGATTTGATGAGATGATCCTAGAGGAGTCTGGGTCATAAAGCTGACACACCATTTCCAAGCTCTCCTCAAACAAAAACCAATCCTCTGAGACTCATGAAGGGTAAAATCTGCAAAACTGGGACTGGTTATTGACCTACCATGATGAGGTCATAATGAAGGTGCCATGTTACCTCGAGAGGCATGAGATGCTGGAAGTGGCAATGAGAGCAGGGAATGAGATGCTGGGGATATATCCAACGGGAGGCTGAGGCACTGGAGCCAGTGGCAGAGAGACTAGATTACCGCCAGTCCCCTTAAGGGTGCTGGAGAATCCTGGGAGAGGGGTGAAATGGAACACACCTGGCCTCTTAGTTAGTAGGGGCCAGGGCAGTCACTTACATATAGAAGATGAAACCAATACCCAGAGGAGTCGAATGACTTGACCAGTGTCCCACAGGTTCCATTGCGCCACAAGCTGTCTTGCATGACTGCATGCTTTTCACCTCCCAAATCCCAGTTGTGGGGGATCTGCTGCATTCCTTGCTTTAGGCAGTCCCTTGAAGTCCACTGGGGTCCTTTGGTTAAATAACTTCTAACCAATTTTAAAGGGGTCGGCAAAGGAAATAAGTCACATGGGTCAAGGCAATGATTTGACAAGGCAATTCCAGTTGAAGCTATGATTTTTTGGGTAACAAGAGCTACTCCCTAAAAATAACAGGGAAAACCAACAGTAATATGCTAAGTCCAAGATGCAGAAAGACTGACATCAGGGAAAAGGCCTGTCCTGTTTCACCAGTGTGAGTAGAATCCTTGGGGTAGATCGATTTGCAGAGCTCAGAGTAGAGAGATTTCTCAGGATCTCCCCTGGAGATCCTGGTAGAACCACCAGGACCTTCGCTCTCACACACAAAGCTGCAGAAGGCGGGGGACGATTTGGGGAGGAATGTGGTGAATGAGATCCAAGTCCAACAGGATTCCATGCAACTGTCTGAATCCTTTCATTGTGCAAAAACTAGGAGACGCCTTAAGGTGTTTCAAACAAGTGGGACATTGGTTGAGACTTGGAAACCTTTGAATTTGTAGGGACAAGATTTAATTTTAGTAAGGGGCACAGTGGAAAGGCTGATCTTTTGGGGGTAATTAGACTTGGGTTCAAATCCTGGGTCTCTATTTGCTGACTGTGTGACACTGAGTAAATCACTTGATTTCTCTGGGCTCCAGTTTCCCAATCGGTAAATTGGGAGGGTTGCACTAGATGACCTCTAAGGTCTCTTTCTGCTCTCTGTGATCTTAAATTTTTCAAATAAACTCTTAGGGGCATCAGGAGAAATGTAACTAAAACCAGTGTCAATGGAGATGAACTGGTGCCATGGAAAGTACATTTTGTCTTGGATTTGGAACATGGGAATTGGAAACTTAGCATTGACACTTACTAGTGGTACAACCTTAGTAAAGCACTTAAGATTTCTATGCCTTAGTTTTCTTATTTATAGAATGGGGCTATCAATACTTTCTATGTATATGTATAAAATATATATGCATATATACATATATGTATGTATATGTACACATATATAGTCATATCTATATCTATATCTACATCTATGTCTACATCTATCCATGTCCAGGTCCACATCTATATTTATATCTATGTTGACATCTATCTATATATAGTTATATTCATATCTTGTAAATGTTTGGCAATGGTAGTTGATACCTAAGGTAAGTAAGGAGATAGTAATAGGGCAGCTGATTGCCCTTCACAAATTCAAGTCATCTGATCCAGTTGAATTACATCCGAGTGCACCAAAATAATGGGCAGATGAGATTGCTGAACTACTGTCTGTTATATCTATGACTGTGTTGAACACAGTGGGAAGAACATACATTTACCAGCATATCAAACTAAACTTAAATAAGATACTGTAAAATGTGTTTTATGAGCATAGTAGCATCCTAAACAAAAGTAAGCAGTCTTTCATTACAATATAAACTCCTTTAGGGCAAAGATGCCACAAAGCCCATAAAACACATCTAATTTTCTCATTTGTTCCATTTTCTTTTGGACAGTAATTTTCCAGGCAAACATTATATAAATAGTTAATGGACATTCCTGCTGTTCTTCCTATAATAATGCCTGAGCATTGATGTTGGTAAACATTAGACTCATCTCTGTTCCTATTGGCCAGCATTGTGGTATTCCAAAGTACTAATGTTAAAAACATATTCCTTGGATTTTTCCCTTTTGGGATAATGTCATGTTTCTTAGAACTTGTCATTAAATACCTGCAGTGGTGCTGCAGGATTGGAGAAGAGTCAATGTCCTGATTTTCAAAAAAAGGAAGAGAATGGAAGCTGTAAACTTCAGCCCAGTGAGCTTGACTTTGGTTCCTGGCAGCATTCTAGAAAGTGTTACTAAAGGGATGGTTAGTGGACAGCTAGAAAGGGAAGCAGTGATCACAGAGAGCCAATATTGTATTAGTAAGAACAGGTCATACTAAACTTTTTTCCTTTTTTGACCAGTTTACTTAATTTATCAGGAGGACATATCAAAATACTTCTAGCAAAGCATTTGATAAAACATCTCCTGCTCTTCCTGTGGGAAATATGGAGAGATGTTGACTAGAAGATAGATTAGATAGCTTTGGAACTACTGGAATGGTCAGG